TTTTGAGGAATTATTTAGAGTTAACGTGAAAAGTTATCATATGGATCGGTACATTTTGGGCAACCTAAGGACATGAAATAACAGAAGATAGGCTTTAAAAACGGAAGTTGCTGCTGGGAAATCTTGGTTAAAATGCCCCCCTCATCAGTAGGACTCTTCATTCGTTTTCACATTGCCGAAGTTTTACCTCAAAAATCCCTGTAGGAACTGTTCAGTACCTTGTTTTGGGGATGGGTCAGAGTGTCTTTGTGTGGGTATGTCAGCTCTGCTGGTATTAAAAGCTTTGAGCTAAAGGGAAGAGACCACGTCTTTTCCAGCCAAAATGATTCTGTGATTCTATGACCAGTAACAATGAATGACAACCAGTTTTCTATTTCAGAAATACTGTACGGCCTTTGTCATGTGTAGCTGCCGCTACTTGCAGTGAAAGATTTGCAGCCTTACCTTTACACGTGAGCCAGCAGTCAGGCCTTCCGTCTTTGTTGCTTCAGCAGAGAGCTGGAAGAAAGTGATTAACGGACAAATAAATCCTAGCGATTGCTTCCCACCTGGATGTGCAGGTCCCTAGGAACTGCCTGTCCTCCTTTTGCTTTGGGACCCCAAATGTAAAAGCCTGTACGGTAAGGTTGCAGCAGGGCTGCTCTTTGGTAGATGGGAATAAAACAGAAATTCTGCTGGGGGACACACAGATGGGGAATACACACCTCTCTTCTTGTATCTGCTGGCCTTCAACAATACCTACAGGAATTCAGAATGTGTCTGAAAACAGAGGAGATAGCTCATATTCATTGATATTTTTATTGTATGTTGAGGTAGTTCAATTACTTTATTCCATTTCCTGTCTAGTTTTAATTTTTAAGATTTTTTTCTGGCTTTTGTTGTTGTTTACAGACAAATCTGCTTGTCCAGTTTAATAATTTTTCTCTCTTGGTCAAGGAAGTACATTTTCTCCTCTCTTCCCACCCTCCCATCCCCCCCCCAGTCAACCTCCTCAGTATTGGTGAAACAATCTAAGCCAGTATCTCTAATTTCTATAGCCTGTGAAATTCAGACTATCTTTGTTAATGACTTCTAAACAGTAATTATAAAAGGACAGACTTATTCTGAAAAACTGGATTGGAAAGGTTGTTTTATTGCTGAAGCATTTGCACGCATATGTCATGGAGACCACTATCTTAACAGGTTGCTTATAGTCAACAGCAAATTTTTTTTTCTTCCCTTTGAATCATATCTTCAAAGCTTATCAGCGTTTTCCTTCCAGCAGCTTTTGTAAAAGCACTGGTAGAAAGACACTCAGTGAAATGCTTTTATTAATGCTTCCATTAATGCTAGAGGTTTTCTGGGTTGCAGGTTCAGATGATCTCATTCTGTCACTCAGAATTAATACAGAGGTATTACATTAGAATATAAATGCTCAGCTTCCAGCATCTTTAGTTGCCTGCAAAATATTAGTTTTGAGTATTTTAATCTTTTCTTTCCAGTCTTTCTACCCATTTGTACTGAGTTTTGGAATCGGTAGTCAGGCACAGTAGTCATGCTGTGCCCCGTTTATTGAAAAATTTGTTTCTTGAAGTACAGGAAATAGTAAATGTAATTAAATGGGGAGAATCCAGTGGAAAGCATTGTTGGCTATGCACAGTAAATTACTGTTTAGTCATGTTGTAGACTTCAACGAAAGCAGGTGTCTACATGATTCCACCCTCCAGGTATCCCACCAGTATTTTTAGGCTGTTCAGACTATTATGTCTTTTTTTTTTTTAAAAAAACAAAACAAAACTCTCAGAAATATACATGTGTCCAGCAATACAAAAAATTAAACAGAACTTGTAAGTTCTTATCCGCTTGCCTTGCTTTATGTCACAACTCAGTCCAGTCTGTTCCTCCCCTTGCTTGGCTGCTCAGGAAGATGAAGGTGGTGGTGGATATTGTAGCACAGAAAATGCCATCTGAAAATGATGTTCATATGGCGAGAAACTATCTTATGAAGATCTTAAGAAATTCCATGAGGTACAGTACTGACTTTACAAGTGTATCCCTTCTGTTTCTTCCTAGTGATTGAATTCCTCTACCATTTGCCAGACACATAGCAAACCATCGTAGAAGTCCTCTTTCCCAACTTCCATTTCCTCACATTCCAAACGTTGCTTGTGTTGTGCTAGTTTTCTAGTTTTGTGTTTCCTTAGTGGTGCATCATAGAAAAGTAATTGTCTCATAATAGATAAACCTTTTTGCTGAATTGATGCCTAGCAGGTCCGTTGAATTTGCCTAGGTAGGTATTTGTGGTTTGCCGAGCTGGTATCAATACCATTAGAAGTGAGCTGTGAGGGGAAAAAACCCTTCGATGTTCTGTGCAGCTGAATGGTGGAATGATTTCCGCGCCCCCCACCCCTCCCATACCTGAACACAGGCTTGGGCCCTTGGAGTATGCAAGGACCATCTGGAGCCCAGTGTTGCGTGGCTGAGCAGAATTTTTTACACTTGTTTGCACTGAAAGTATTTGGGCTCCTCCACTGGCTCTGAATTTCATATTCTGCCAAGAAAGAACAACATAGTGATGCTCTGCTTAACTGTTTTCTCTTTTGTCTTGCTGAGAAGAGTAGGCTTTTGTTTATGGAAACAATTACTTCTGTTTTTTAGTGACAGTAATGGTGCTACACTTCTTACTGAAATTACAGCTTCCCTGTAGAATTGTTACTTTCCTTTTGTAGTCCTGCATGCAGAGCTTGGAAAGGCAATTCATCATTGAATTCATCAGATCTTCCTGAATGTACTGCAAAAAGCCATGTGCTCAAATTTGACCTGTGTTGAAGATACTGGGTTTATAATGAGCTTTAGTTTTGTTCTCTAAATCCAGTGGTGTCTGATAACCCAAATTTGTAAAAAGGGGAGATGAGTAAAGAAATGTAGAACTGCCTTTAGAGTTCAAGTTGAAAACAGGGAAGACTCACTTTCTCAGCTTAGCAAATTACTTTGTGACTTGGGCAAATTATTTAACCTTGCAGTAATAAACTTGGTAAATATGTGAATGAAATACATAAGTGCATTAAAAAAGCCCTCAAGAGCTAAGGTCCTGTAAGCCTTTGTTTCAGACTGTGTCTTGGAAGGGTGGGATCTGTGTCACCTTACACCTCATCTGAATTTTAAATTACACTTCCCCCAAGATAAGCCAAAGAGAAGGCTGAGATGAATTACCTTCAAGAAGTTCCTGCTTCATTCCTGGGTGACTGAGAGGGTCTAGCCAAATGGCCCATGCTCAGCATCTGCTCACTGGAACAGAAGCAGCTGAATTCCATCCAGAAGGCTTATTTAACATTGGGGAAAAAGAATGCACTTATTTCATGAGTGCCGAGAGGTGTTTGAAACAGCAAGCCCTTGGAAGGAAGTGCAAGCTGTTGTTACTAATTCCTGAACTGAAGGAAAGGGCAGAGGAGCACAGAGCAGTTTTGCAAGGTCTGAAACTCTAAGAATTTATTGTTGTACTTCATAGGAGGGATCTCTTCAGATGTATGAGCATGTACTTTTGGAGGTGATATCCAAATAGTTATTTGAGGACTTAGAATTGATGAACTATTTTTGAGGTATATTCTTCCAAAAATCCCACCAAAAAACACCAAAACAAAAACCCCCTGCATACCTGGGATGCCAAATATTTCAAGAGCTGAAGCAGAACTTGGCTGAAGTTAAAATTATTAGTTATATCACTCTTACTAACTCGTACGAAACAATTGTAATCCTTCCTGTAATTAACTCTTTTCTTCCCACCTCCTCCCATAAGCACATACCTACAGTAAAACCTTGCCCAAACTCTTACTCTACTGCTGACATGTTGTAAAAGTCTCAGTATTGGCTTTAACTGTTAAAGCTCTGGATATGTGTCAGGTACTTTAAAATTTGTTTGCCTCTTTCCACTCCTCGTAAAAACCACCCCATCCCAAAATTAAATTAAAAAACCAAAACAACCAACCAACCAAAAATCACCAAAAAGAAAACCAACCAGAAAAAACACCCAAGCACAGACCTTGGAGAGTATTGATGTTTCGCTGCATCTTGAGCATTTTAAAGGAATGCTGGTGTCTTTTCAAAATTGGCATGCATGTAGAAAGTGGTCTCATTTGCTGTCATTTAAAGTCATTATGCCTCTGTCCTATCTGTATAGCATTTGACTACTGCCCTGATAGATTATTTTTTCTCTTTCCCCTGCTTGTCACCTTACTTAACTGTTTGCATTAAACTTGCACTCTGCCTTTCTCGTTTTCAGAAGAAATGACCTAGCCTGCAGGCCTCACTCCTGGCATGCAACCAAATTTACAGAAAGTCAACCTGAGACAGCCACGTCACACCTTTCCTCATCCAATGCCTGCTCTTCCTGGCACTCGCGCTATCATGCAAGGTGAGTCTCTGTTTAAGTTACACGCATTAAGCTCCAACAGCGAGACAATAATAATGTAGGTCATGACATTGAGTGTTTTTTAAAGCCACGAACGCAGAATAATTGTGTTATACGTCTTTAGTATTGCCTATCCTTTCAGTGCTTGAAGGGCATGGGAAGTTTGACATATGGATGAGTGGATTTCAGAAACAGTATATGATATGTGCATGTGACTGAAAGGTAAGAAACTAGCTTTAAAAGCACTCAAAAAGTTATGTTTCTTGTTCTGCATTTCCTTTCAGTGTCCACTGGTAAAATCATAAACCTTTGTAAATGAAAAGAAACCATCAAAATTAATATACCTAAAGTAGTAAAGGGAGAAGAAATTGAAAAATACTGTTTCAGTCTATTAAAAAGCCTTTTCCTAAAGGGAGGGTGCAGAATGTTCTCCTGTTGGACTTTAAGGTATTACTGGTTTTATGCGTTAAACTGTCTTTCTGTAATCTGATCTTCCTTACAGCTGTGCTCTTGCTTGTGTATCGAGGTAATAAGACCAGTGATTTTCAGACCCCGTTTAAAGCACCTTAATATTTGTTAGGTCTCTTTCAGCACTAGAGGAGAAAGGCTGGCAGCCATGCAGTTTTAGTTGCGAAATTTTAAACTTCAGGTAATGCCTGTTTGTGTCTGGTTACAGGTTCTTGCTTGTTTCCTGCTCATAGGTGACATTCTTCAACATTTTTACAAGGGTTTTTTGGTTTGTTTTGTTTTTTACTTTTGTCACTTTTCTTCTCAGTCCCATTGGGCCATAGTTATGCTGAGCATTAAAGAAAATGAGCCTGGTATGCAATCCCAGTTTGGAAAGTAGGCTTGTGTTTTCTATACATACTGCTGTACATTCTCTGTCATTACTTCTTGACGTTAATTTATCATGGTAGTTAAAACAGAAGAACGTTCATACTTTAAGACTTTATTTTATTTTTCATGTCACTTTTACAATCGTTTTTACATCATTTGTTTTCTTTAGAACCTTCCTACAGTTTCTAAAATAATATGCTATCTGTCTTTGACTAAAATATGAATGCTAACATTTAGACAGAAAGGTTTTTTAAATGCATTATGTAATACTTAATTAGCAGAAGTTTTAGCACATTATATTTCTTAAATACTCAATTATAATTGCTGCTGGTTTACACTGATTTAGAGAGTTTGTATTTAAATTTCATGTAGATGGGCTGAATTAAGATTTATGGATTTGAAGACAGCAAAAGTCCTTGTACATAGAAAAAAAAATCAGAAATTTCTAAAAACTATAGAGTTCCTGGTTGCAATGGTAACTCAAGAGTATTTATACTTTTGGTCTACTTGAGTCTTCTTATGGAGCCGTAAATCAATATATGCTTCCTGTTCGTCCTGATGGTTGTCCTTGTACCTTGTGAAAGTAAAATATTGCAAGACATGTGTCTCAGAGTGTGATTTGATAAGGAGCTGTGTGAATCATAATAATTAAAAAGGAAAAAAGAATATATTAATATGGTTCAAGGCCAGTTTGAAATGAGCTTTGGGCAGGAAATTGAGGCTGTAAAGCAAAAGGGGGAGGGGAATAGAGCAATCCTCTACCCCCTACATATCAGAAACAGCAGCAACTGCTGGTAGACATCCATATTAATAAAAAGGGCAAATTCTGCTTTCTCAGGTGCTGCTGAAATATTTAGTGGCTTTAGCACGGTCTAATACCAGTGTTTCCAGGGCATTGGCATCCTGAACTTCTTTGCTGCCTGTATTGCCCACTTGAAAGGTGATGTATTTGGGACATCTGTCAGTCCTGGTGTCTCTTGCCCAAGACAGTTTCAGTGGCAGAGCTAACTTCAGACTGGCTGCTGGAGGCCCAGTGTTCCCCAAGTGCCAACCCAAGGATTTGGGTGTTTTGAGGGTTCGAGTGGAAGTGGGGGGTTCTTTGGGTTTGCTGGTCTATAAAAAGAGAAGGTGAACAGCTTCAGAGATTCCCCACTTTCAAAGTACGATTCATAAAACCATACTATGTGCTCTAGTGTCAAGCATCAAGCTGAACAGGACCCACAGCAATCAGTAGCTGAAAGCAGCAGTATGCAAGGACATAATAGAAATAGCCCCAGGAGGGTGTATTTCTAGCCCAGGGATCCCATCCTCAGGCTATTTCTGGAACTTCTTTGTCCTTCCTTGAGACAAGCATCTGAGATTAGTATTCACAGCCTAAAATCTCTTCTGAACGCACCTGTCTGCATTCTCTCTGTGAGTGTGTGAAAAATAAATCACTTGTAAAACATGGAGAGCTCAGTCGGGGAAGAGATGCTTTTGCTCTCTTCCAAGCATGATATACCTGGATTTTGTGTGTTGGGGAGATGGGGCACATCTGGACAAAACAACCCCCTGAAAATTGTCCTTACTACCTAGATAGATGCTAGATTAAGCTATGGGTAATTTGATTTGGTTTGGCGGGGGGGGTGGTTGGTTTTGGTGGGAGCTTTTTGCTAGCCTACTGAATTTGAACCTTTGAGAAGATGCATGAAGCTAGAGGAAGACAGACCAGAAGAGACTGTACCAGTGTAGACAGGAGAGAGGGTAGTTCTGGAGCACCACTGGATGTGTATTTTTTATCATGTGACTTTGATTCAAAAACTGTAAGCTATCTTGGGAGCAATAGACTAGGCCTAGGTGCCTCTCAGGCAAGTGTAGAGGGTTAGACCTTGTAAGCTTCTGGTGCCTTAATTTCCCTCTGTGAGTCTTCTGCTGTCTTTTTCACAGAAGTCATACCTTAATGACACGGATGCAGACTTTTTTCCTAGCCCACTCTAGAGTAAGGCTGAATGCACTTTTCTGGGAGGTGTGGGCATGAACTATCTGTTAGACCTGTTGGAGTGAGTCCAGAGCAGGGCTGTGAAGATGATCAGAGTGCTGGATCACCTTTCCTATCAAGACACGCTGAGAGAGTTGGGGTTGTTCAGCCTGGAGAAGAGAAGGCTCCAGGGAGACCTTACAGCAGCCTTCAAGTACCTGAAGGGGGCTTATAAGAAAGCTGGACAGGGACTTTTTATAAGGGCAGGTAGTGATAGGACAAGGGGTAAGGGCTTTAAACTGAAAGAGGGTAGATTTAGATTAGATATAAGGAAGAAATTCTTCACTACAAGGGTAGCGAGACAATAGAACATGTCGCCCAAAGAAGTTGTGGATGCTCCATCCCTGGAAGTGTTCAAGGCCACGTTGGATGGGGCTTTGAGTAACCTGGTCTATTGGAAGGTGTCTCTGCCCATTGCAGGGGGGCTGGAACTAGATGATCTTCAAGGTACCTTCCAAGCCAAACCATTCTATGATCTTAAGTTGCTGAAAGTTTAGACCCTGCATTTTCTCCCAGTAGGATATACTATAATAGAGGACCTTATAATACTTTTTTTGTGCCCCTAAGTGTGCAGATGAAACCAACAACCTCTCTGTACTTTGTTCTGGCCTTACAGGTGTGGGTGTGAGGCAAGTATGCTTTGAGAAGGCTGCTTAAACTGAGTTTTTGGAGTAATTAGGGTCAGGTACATCTGGTCTCTAATCACATGCGGTCTGAATGTGGTCTGATTTGCTGAGATGTCATTTCTGGGCAGAAACTCATGCCCCAGGGTTTGGGGGGTGGGGGTGGTACTTACTGGACTTCAACCAGCAGTGTAGGTGCTTTTGTGAATCCACTCTAAAAAAAGCTGTTGAGAGAGGGATATCCTGGGCTGCCAGGCTCAGGCAGAGAAATGACTTTTGGATTCTCTTCCATGTCAGGGCTTGTAGGAGTATTGCCTTGTAGTTAAGGACCACAGGAGGCTGTGCTTTGCAGTAACACACCATCAGAAACTTTCCTGTCCTTTCTTTGAAGCTTTTGCTGCATCTGCTGGGTTTCCATTAGGCATTTTCTAGCAGGGCTTTGACCTCTTATGCTGATGATCTCTGCTTCATGTTTGATACCAGCAGATCTATGTGAGACTTGTAAATTTTAAATTGAGGCTTTCCTGCATAAGTGTCATCTTTATTTTAATCAATGCCGAGTATCTCCTTGGTGCTGAAGAGGGGGAAAATATCAGCAATTTATAGCAATATGTGGCTTACGTTCTTCATTGACAAAGAATATTCAAATAATGATCAAGATGCTTTTTACATGAACCAGAGTATCTGCCTAAGAAGATAATGAAGACCTTTTATAAGTATTCAGCAAGATGTTTTAAAATGCTGAAAATAAAAGAATGAAAGAACAAAAAACCCAGATGAGGCCAACGGTAGTGTATCTTGCTAAAAAAATGCTTTTAGAAACTAAGCACAAAACATACCTTCTCTTATTTCACATAAATTGCTTTTGACCATGTTTATTTAAAAAAAAAATTACAAAGGCTGTAGTAATGGGGGGGGAAGCAACTCTCATGTTAATACTGAATTCCAAAGAGCTGTTAGTTGACCTTTGCAATATTTTTGACCAAAAAAAAGATCTATATCACTCTTTGTATTTTTTTTTATATGCGGACTAATCTAATCTCATTGCTGGCTTTCACAAGTTTCTTTACGGCACAAGATTTGATAGATGCTTCATATAATTATAGCTACAAGGAAGTGGAATAATTCTGGGATTTCTACCAAGGGGCTTTGCATGCAAGGGCAAGAATTTGAATTTGGTATATAAAAGCAGGAGGGGCTGCCAGTGAAGTTCAAACAGGGAGATGTGATGAGAATAGTTGGAAAGACTATCGTCTCAGCATGAGTGTGTTGGATTGACGGGAGGTGGGTGTGGTGAAAGGTATAAAAGAAAAGAAAGAAAACAGAACAAAACTGATTGGGAAGGAAAACAACAGAAGCAGCAAGATTTTTGAAATAGTGTCCTAGGCAAATGATCCAGAGAAAGTACAATGTCAAAGATGACATTTCTACAGAGGAAGGAGTGGCAGAGAGGAACTGATGGTGGTAGGGATTCTTGAAGGAAGGTCAGAAGTTTAGTTTTGGCCATGCAAAGTTTACGTTGCTCAGGCATCTCCTCTTGACGTTTTCCTGTCAGTGTTGTAGAACTGGGTGTAGTTGAGTGACGTTGTAAGAGTGTCAACCTGACAGTGGTTTGAAACTACCTTGGCAAGGTGCGTATGGAGGCTTAGAACTAAAATGGTGGGATTTGAGGCAAATGTTTCTGGTGAACCTCCACTTAGAAATGAAAATATTAAATGAATGGGCAGGTTTGGATAAGCAGGACAAGGGAATAACTTCATGGGCTGAAGAGGTATAGAGTGTGATTACAAAAGATGAACAGGGAATTTACATGAGTTTAGTATCTGGAAGAATCAGGGTGCCTGGAAAATAAGCTGAAAAATAAGTTGGTGTTTGTCCTGAGAAAGAGTGAGCTAATGGAGCTCAAACTAAATTTGGCTGAAATTCAAGTCGGCAAAATCAACAATTTGCAGAGGAAGAGGGGAGCCTTCAAGGAGATAAATGTGTATTACTTATTGGTAAACTTACAAAGAGAAGTTGAGTTATTAAGGTTTCAAGCTTTGAATCAGTGGCAGAGTATAAAGATAAAGCCCTGACTTTGTGTTCAAGCTTCCAATTTTATTAGATTGTCTTGAGTAGCTGCTCTGCAGATGGATCTTAACCAATGTTAGGAAAATTGGTGGCTATATATATATAATTATGTTGTGTATATTTGTTGATATATTTATGCTGATGCTTTTTGTCTGTTTCTTACCATAGCTGTTCTTCTCATGACCTGTCAAACTCATGGGATCAGTCAAGTCTACATCGCACTTCTGACCAATTCAGCTCTTTGGGAAGTATGGACAGCTGGGACCACACTCCACAAGTAGCCCAGTATGGAAGACTTTCTTCTGCAAGGTCTAATAGTAGTATTGATCATCTAGGGAGCCAAAGTAAGCGGGATTCAGCCTACGGGTCTTTCTCCACGAGTTCTAGCACCCCTGACCACACTCTATCCAATGCAGACACTTCTTCAACAGAGAACATGCTGTACAAAGTAGGCCACTGGGAGACTGCTAAGCATGTGAACAAATCTGGCCAATTCTTGAATGACAACAGTGGAACAGAGGACAAACATGGGTATATGCCAGCTCCCATCCAATACGAGAACAACAGAAGTCCTAGAATAGAGGAACAACCTGATGGCAAGCTCACTAGCTCTGGAAGATCCAGTTTTGGACCTGTCTGGTATGTTCCTGATAAGAAGAAGTCTTCATCTCCTCCCCCCCCACCTCCACCTCTTCGTAGTGACAGCTTTGCTGCTACCAAAGGCCATGAGAAAGCCCATGGCCCTGTGTACTCAGAGGGTGCCAGCACGCAGCACTTTACAGCCCTGAACCGGTCTCAGCCCAGGAGTGACTGGAACTTGGAAACTGTGGAGCAGCAGCGACGGCCCTCCAGAGCATGTGACAGGAGGGTCAGTAGCTCAAATTATAAACCTGATCTCAGTTCAGAACACACTTTTCCTTCAACTGGTGAAAGGTACAATAGTAATGCAGGAACAGTGAATAAACTGCAGTCGTCCTTGTCCAGCACTGATGTTCGGTTTGCACAGCCTACTTACAGTTACCACCACCAGCACCAGTACAGTGATGAAAGCACTTTTATTCACAATGCAAGAATCTTAGCTGCGCCTAAAGATCAGCAACATTATCTGTCCTATAGTGGCATTCGGGAGTTACCTACAGATCATTTTCATGGCTACAGTCCAAACCCAGCTAGTCTGCTCAACACTTCCTCTTCTTCGAATAGTACTGCTGAACAGAAGGTGGACAACACTGGACAGAGTCGTTATTATTGCGTGACAGCAAAACAGCCTGCTCAGGGAAGCTCAAAGCCACTACAACTCAAGGATGACAGCTGGAAACCTGCAGTGGGGGCTGATGCATCACTTGGACCTCATGAAAATCCTGCAGTTGTCACAATGGTCCAAAACCCAAAATACTATCTACCTCAACAATCTGTTGAATCTTCACTGAAAGGGTATGAGAACAGTAGTCATTATCCTGTGGACAGAGAGGGGGATGCTAGGTGTGCTGTAGTAGAAGAAGCTAAAAAGCCCAATCACACTGAAAAGTCTGGACAAAAGAAAAACTTTGAGAGCAGCTCTGAGGAATATGAAACTAGGTATGGTCAACAGGAGTATATAAAGGGCTGTGTTCTTACCGCTGAAAGCAGATCTGCTCAAAAAGATTTTAGGTGGGGGAAAGATGAGAGCAGCAAGATTTCTCCTCAGAAGACCCCAATGTTGCACTCTTTAGCTCAGGAAGGGAAAAAACAGTCTGACAACAGCCCAGAAGCGGTAACAGAGCGACAGGCCCCATTTGACACTCACTTGTCTAAACAGGCACGAAGGAGTGATCGTTTTGCAACAACCCTGAGAAATGAGATCCAAATGAGAAGAGCAAAGCTGCAGAAAAGTAGAAGCACTGCTACATTATTAGGGTCATCTGAAACAGAGGAGTGCAATGAGACCTGGAAGCCAGATTCAATGGAAAATGTCATCATCTCTCCAGACACTAACTTTACCAGCACCTACAAAGATCACCTCAAGGAAGCACAGGCCAGGGTTCTGAGGGCGACATCCTTCAAACGGCGGGACTTGGAGCCCAGCTCCACTGAATATCACCCCAGGTCACCCGAGCAGAAAACTGGTAGTTATAACTCTTCGTTATTGGCTTTGGTTTCTGAAGATGCGTCTGGATTCCTTGAGGCTACACAAGCTAAACCGAACCCTACAGGGAGTGGCACTCATCACGTTTCTCGCATTGGAGCCAGGAAGAGGTTCACAACAGAGCAAAAACTGAAGTCTTACTCTGAACCGGAGAAGATGAATGAGGTGGGGATGTCGGAGGATGAGTGCCGAGCTCATTGCTGTCCAAATACATCTGAAGAAGCCCTGGGCTCATTTGCAGACAGGTGGAAATTTTTTGAAGAAACAAGTAAGCCTGCCTATAGGAAATTGGCACAGAAACCAGCTCCCCACAGTCTAGCTGAGGGACAGACTGAGAGGCCGGATAAGAAAGCTCACAGTGGACAAGAGGGAGAGGAGTCATGGTATGAGAGAAGGGGTCGGGCAGCCTCTGCTGGACTTGAAACTGCACATGCTTCAAAAGATAACATCCACCACAGTAGCAGCAATAAGGCTGCTGATAGGATTGTGAAATCTGAGCAGCCGCAGCGCCTAGGAACCTTTGCAGAGTATCAGGCATCATGGAAGGAGCAGCGGAAGCCAGTAGAGCCAAGGAGCTCAGGAAGGTACCATTCAGCCGATAATATCCTTGATGCAGGCCATGAACAGCATGAGAAACACCAGTACACTCATGAGAGGTCTAGATCATCCCCTTCTACTGACTTCTACAAACAGGTACAGTGTCTTTTGCGTTATCCTTTAAATTGCCTGGGGAGGGGGGAGGAAAGTGGTAGAGGGGGAACGAGATAAATTTTACAAAAAATTTCCAGTTTAGGAACAGAGTGTAGTGTGGTGTTTGCCTTTTGACAATAGGGAATAATTGTTACAGGTAGCTCTCATAAGTAAAATGAAAGAGATCAAAGTTGGTATTGCACAGGAACTGAGTGTAGCAAAGAGCAATTGGATCCGGTAATTTCGTGTGTATTGTAGCCAGATGGATGGAAACAACCAGGATGACTTGATAATATCCTCTTTTTTACAGTAGAGATACAGGAGGATCAAAGCAATCTTCACACAGATTTATTTCTTCATTGGTGTGGCTGCCTTCCCCATTTTAAGGCTTTCAGTTCTCTGAAACTGAAGAAAAATGTTCCAAAGGGACATAGTATCTACTTTTGTCCAGTTTTCTTAATGGTCTAATAATTTTCCATGGATTTCCTCTTTTCTTCTGAACCTGCTTAATGCAGAAGCTACATAGGACAAGACTTCTGCCTAATAAAGTTTAGAGATCAAAAATATGCCAGTTAATGTTAAAGCTACACTACGACAACAAATGAAACTGCTTAGTGTTTTATTTTATGTCAGTTTGCTTGATTTAAGCTGTATAAACTTATTCCTTAGAGAGGTGCCGAATGTCGGTTCAACTTAGAAGTAAATATTAAGTTAATTATTAACTAAGCGGGGCCAGGGAATGGTTGGCAGGTGGCAGGGGAAGTAAACAGAGAAACCAAGTCTCTTAAATTCTCTGTTTAAAAGATCTTGTTGAAGCTGCCTCAAGGTTGCCTGATACATATAAGGAGTCATAGTGTGTTCAACCTCTGCTGAACTTCACCTTATGCTTGAAAAGAATTGAGGCAATGCAGTTGTACGTTATTTTCCCCCCCCCCCCCCCCCTTGGTGAAAACGTTGCATACCTACATACAAACACACACACACACATCCACACAGCACCTCTGTTTATGTGTGTATATACAGGGAGTAGAATGAGAATAGCTCAAAAAGAAACAAAATATGTTGATCTCTAAAAGTTGTGGACTCTCAGTTTTTTGTGTCTTTAAGTTTTGCAAAAGTTACTTTTTGACTCTTAAGTGCAGACTGAACTATGTGCATAATTTACTAGGGTAGAGATTCCAAGGACTGGAAATATTCACCTGGAAGTTATTTTGAAAATTAAATTAACTAAATTATTAAATAATTGCCTACCCAGCAGAAAAATCATCATATAATCTATTCCATGTATGCATTTCTGGTTTATTAGTCAGTGCCTTTAAGTTCAGTATAGGCCTCCTGGGGCAAAAAGCAGACACCTGCTTAGGCACCTGGAAAATATGTTGATAAGGGCATTGAAGATGCTTACAACAGACTGAAGTTAAAGAAAGATGTTGTTTCGCATATATGATTCAGATGATTCCAGTGCTAATGCGCAATTAAATTTCCTGTAGGTTCACTGTTTGTAATGCAAAGCTATGCTTTGGGTGTGGTTGTTTGAAGATAGTGAGATAATAAAATTCTGGAGCAGCAATGTTCTGTGTTTTACTGAGACACTGAAGTACGCGCTCAGGGATTCAAAGGCTGGTGTGTACTCGCCTCTTCTAAAATGTGAGCAAGTCTTCTGCAACTTTTGCTGCACTTATTTTTTCTTTGCCAAATGGAACTTACAAAGGTTTATATAAATGTTAAGCTCTTCTGTAGATCAGCAAAGTAGAGCAGTAACATGAGCACGGCCAGGTCGGTAGTGCTGCGCGAGAGGTCACATAGCATACTGTACCACTTAAAACCAAACAAGCTTAAGACATGCTATGCTGTTGACTTCATGTATATTCAAACACAGCAAACCCACAAATAAGAGGTTCCATAATCATAGATTTTTCAGGAGTCTGAAACATGATGACTTGGTGTCTTACTTATGCTATAAACCACTTCTAGGAAGTCTCAGTTGAAGTAAGGAGGCAAGCAGAGGATTTGAAGGAAGATGGGGAGCGTGTTTTCTCTAAAGTTAACAATCTGGGTGAAAGGAACTGCACTGTAAGGTAAGTATTTCTTAATTTCTGGCTTTAAGAGATTTCTTATGACAACTCTGATCTGATCTTTTCCTCACCCATGTTTTGGGTCTGGAAGTTTTGCTATGATGATTTCAGAGTTTTTGCAATGCCTTTTTCCCTTGTTTTCCTCCTTCTCCTCACATACTTCAACGTGCATGATAAATTTCAGTCCCAACATTAATTTTATGCAGACTCTTAGGGTGAGCTTGAAGTTGTCAAGTGTTGAGTGTATTACAGTTTGTTTGGAGCCAGATGATTCTTATTTGTGTGCATGAAATGATTCAGATATATTTCACATTTATC